AGTGAAATAAGAACAAATGAAGAAACACCCATGTGCATCTTAGACCACAAAAAAGACAAATGACTTAATTTTTAAAAGTCTAATTGATTAAAAGTTAGTTTTGACTTGACACTGCAGTAACATTAAATATCACAACCACAGGTAATTATGAAAGCTTGTGGCTGTTCATTCTACCCAAAATGGTAAACGAAGCCCGAAAGTAAAAATCTAGATAGAAAGAAAAATCAAGTGAAGCCATTGGAGTGGCAATATTCACCATATTCTCTCTTTTATGGTATTATCATGTAAAACTATATTTTCACACTCCTGAGAAACATGGAAATACTGCAAGTTATTTGAAAATCAAAAGATGTAAGATGATGCTATTTTGTAACTCCTTTGGGCTACATCAAGTACGTATTAGAGGGAAACTTAAAACATGTTGTGGTCAAACAGGATATTAAAGTCACAGTATTAACTGCACAACCCAAGCCAAGTTTAACCATGTATGAACTGTACTTACGCTTTTAATTTTTTATTTACCTATTTATTTAGGATAAAGATTTTCTACCACCCAGCGACACGCTTGAGCAAGACTTTCGGTTACTTCAAACATTGAGATACAAACCATGAAAACCAGCCATCACCAGGCTTCAACACGTTTGAATTTGAATACCAGGTCTAATAAAAATTTGAAATGCCTAATGGAAACCTATGTAACTTCAAACTCCGACCAGAAATATTTTTCTTTCTTTCTTGTCTTTACATTATGAATACAAAGTTCTGATTTTTAAGAAGAAAATGTGGAGGAAAATTAAAGCAATCAAATTGAAATCAAACTGCAATAATCTGAAAATATAGAGCAAACCACACACCAGATTAATCTAAAGCAGTTTCCCTGTCAATGATGACATTAACATTTCACTTTTAAGAGCTAAATTAAAGAGCTTACCTGATTGATAAGATAGCTTTTAAAAATATTTTAAAAACTCACATTCTAAAATCAGCACAAGGGACTACATTTGCACAATTCACTGTTTTATGAAGCTTCAACAAAACACTTTGCCTCTCTCTAAAACATTCTTAGCAAAGGAAAACTAATCTTTTGAAAACTCTCCCCACTCCCCAAAACCTGGGTGAAGTGTTTACATGTTCTCTATTAAGCAAATGATTCACGTTCACTGGTAACTGGTTCATATAGGCAAACACTTGACTATATAGTTTGGCGGTAGCTAATTGACTACCTGCTATATACTTACACGTAACTGATCAGACAGCTTGATCCGAGACATATATTATGAAAAGCAACTTAATTTGACTACATTTTTGAGGAAGACAAAGGGTAAAGGAATTATGCACCGAACAGCTTTATAGTGCCCACAAAATTCAAATACTTTCATAAAGACAACTGAACTTGAGTAAACACACGCTTACATAATACACCATGTTTTTCCACAGCTACCAGCATAATATGCCCTTAATATGTTCACTCTGATTCACAAAGGACAAAATAAATCCCCATCAATAAAGGATTAAAAATGGCGCAGGTCAATTCCTGTTAACTTCAGCAAATATCAATCAACACTTTGCCAAAAATAATAAAAAAATCCTTTCCGATATAGAGTGCGTGCTTCCATTTAAGTTTTAAAGCCCTTCTGCTGCTTCCACCCTGGAATATGGAGCTAAGATAACGCCTAAACTAGTCATCAGAAGAAAATTTACCTTTATTCCTTTCACGACTTCAGGGAAGAAACTACAGTGGACGCTTGCCTTTTTCACATTTATTAACTCTGTAAAAACTCTAGCCTTAAATCTTATGATTTATAGAATTAGACCGCATTAGTCACTCAGGATTTTTTTGGTAAAAATTGTATCGTCTATTAATAAAGTAATGAAAGGCAACATAAAAATTATAAAAGAAATCAAGAAACAGTTGATTTTTTTTATATCAACTAGATAATTCATCGAGGTAACTTAACTAAACCAAATTAAAGACTAATTTTTTAAAAGTAAGTAAAACTATTGGGGGGGCACTCCACAGACTCTTAAAGGAATGTGAAAAGGCTGCAAAGAGAAAACTATTTGGTTTAAAATTCGCATCACCACTAAGAAAGATGTTCTGCTTGCATTATGTAGACAGCTGTGTAATTAAAAAAACCAACCAAACAAACCTCCAAAATACAGTTCTGAGTCTAAATGCGAATCCCATCCTTACACAAGTTCTTGGGATTTCAGTCACAAATTGCAATTAGAGTATGATTTCACCCACAGGAAATCAGTATTTTCAAATCCACTTCTTTTAAAGGACAATTTTCATAATTAAATGCGTATTAGTTAATTTGTATGCAATTTAAGAATGCATATCCAAGCATACCCGATATTAAATTAGTGCCTCATGAGTGTTGGCCATACTGTGCCATCAGTGAAGTTTTTGCATTTTATCAGGGATCTCTCTTTAAAGACTCGTGATAGAGTGCAGTCATTTTCCCACATTTTGCATGTGATGCATTTGAAATGCATCTTCACCGCTTTTTACAGTGAAGATTATATGGCTAACATAATCCAAAAAATAACACATCTGTAATTCACATTGCAACACTAAGGGCTATGTCTTTAACAGCTCATTACCATCCACATTGTCAAAACCCCTAAAATTGCCTTTTCCCTCCTTCAAAAGAAGAAGGGAAGCTTTGTCATGTTTTAGGATGTGCCAAAATTTACCCCAGAGGCAACACCTAAGCACTGCCTAAGTCAAGCATTTTTCCCTTTACAACTGTTTTTCAGCACGGATGATAGAACCACAAGTCCTGAATGTCTACTACTAAATACTGTGTTAGTTTCTCTGGCTCAGAAGGCCTTATTCCATACATCAGATATTAATTAGAGAATCAGTAATGCTTAGCAAAGGATGCGTAACTGATTACTATCCAAGTATTAATTTTTATATTTGTCCTTATCCGAAAATACTAAATGGGTCAAAAGTTATTTCAGCTGGAAACGTAGTTTCACTTTAAGTTATCGTTGACTTAAACTGGAGTAGAGTCAAGCCCTGAAGCACAATAGCACATATTTTTTTTTTTGTCAATCTGTCTTGCTCATACATCTTCCTGGAGAGAAATAACCTACTAAACCAACAAAAATAAAATAAAATTTTACATTTTACAAAGATTCAACCTATGAATTGAGCAGAGAAGAAAACAGGTGAGAAAAGATGGAAGTGACACATAAAATATGTGGACTTCTAAGCGAGCACTAGATTTTTCTTCTTTTTTTTTTTAAGCTTGTAAATAACTTTTTTTTTTTAATTAGGACTATTACTTGACACTATTTCAAATAATGTGATGGCACTGTCAGAAATCCTACTTAATTAAAAACCAGAGTTATTATTTTTTTTATTTTAAACCAAAATGGACTTTGAATGGAGATTTCAAATGAATTATTACTTGTTTTACTGTCCACCGGGTCCTATTCTTCTCCCCTTCCAAGAAGAATAAATTTTGCCCTCTATAAAGTATCAAACAGTGAACCAAATTTGACTAGATATAGTCAGTTTCTGTGAAAAAGGAGAATTTTGTAAACAATTTGAAAATAAATAAGTATCTCCAGCCCTATGGAAAGTCCACTTTAATTTTCTTTTATCCCAGAAACTCAAGAAAGCAGATGTACTATAGAGAATAGCAAAGGATATAGGCCACCGCTTACTTTACCAAAACATATAAGGGTCAAAATTCAAGCAAAAACCCTGACCACATAAAATGAGCAACAAAGGCCTCAGAACTGCAATACCTGCATAAGACAAATATTTCATGTCAAACTCGCATTCCATTTCTAAAAAGAGTTTCTCATTTTCACTAAGTTACATCTACCAATTGAGCAATTATGCAATATGTGGGTGTACCTTGCAGTCGTTTTCTTAACATCTGCATTCTGTGTTAAATTCTAACTGTACAAGATGTCTGATACTTTTTCTTTATCTTGAACCTTCAAAGTGGTAGGTTTACCAGAGGCAAAACCACACACCAGAGAATATGAGTCATATAATAAAGAAACGACTCTTCCCCTTCTCCCCCTTCCACCCTGAAGCTATAATAACCTAAAGACACTCTGTTGTAAATGGCTTCTTTGGTAACATTGATAGCATGAACAACTCGCAATTATTTAGCCAATGAATGAAGATTTTTTTAGTCCTTACTGTATCCATAACAAATTGCTCTCGATATCATTTGAAGCAAATTAAAAATTGTGCTAGTGCAAAAATAAAATTCTTGATAATATTCAGAATGTCTATGCACTTGCTTTCACGTCATGCATAAAATATAAAACGTTCTATGTACGTTCCTATAAATAATAACATAAGATAAAAATAATCAAACATAAGATGCCTATGCAAGTTAATCCGAAAGGTATCTCTCATTTGTCTACAAAAGAGTAGCCTCTATACAGAAATCCTTAATTTTCTAACGATTCCGTATCAAAAGATGGCAACATTTACATCCAAGTAAACCACTGCTCATGCCAACTACAATAAATACATAAAGAAACAAACCACCTTACTTGACCACCATTTAGGTGAGTTTCCACTGTGAAGTGCAATAAGTATGGAAAATACCACTGGGGCCACTCTATCCTTTTATTTCCTTTTACATCCTTTTCTGTAGGTAGACTGTAACTCCTCAGACTGACATCCTGCACCTAATTCCACATAGCAAACCAGGTTTCAACAAAGTCTTATTTGAAGTGTTAATATGTATGATTAGATCAGAAATGTTGAAGAGAAGAACTAAATGCAGAAACAGCATTTACAAACAGCAGCAAATAAATCGGTAACAACAAAACCTTGCACCACTAAAACAGGTGCAACAAACACAGTCTTTTAAGAAAGTTAACCTACTGGTAATGCTGGCCTAAGCCCTTCCCATAACCATCTTCCAAAAAGTAAAAAAATCCAATGTTTCAGTAAATCAAAGTGAAACAACACGTTCCCCCTTGAAGCAGAATAAATCAGTGATTTCTGTTCTTACCTGTGTATAGTCAAAGTCAGAAAGAGGAGCTATACTCTTGATGTAGTCCATTCGAAATTGGTTTTCTGGGTTGGCCAATGGAACTGGGGGTATTAAAGTGCTCATAGCTGAAACTATAGTCTAGAATTGGATAAAACAAAAACAAACACATTAATCTGGATAAATCTAGGATACAGGATCAATAGAAGATAATCCAATCTGATCAGCAAAATGGGATTTCTCTCAGCACAATCTTGGAGAGCACAATCCTTATCATTTCCAGTACACCCAAGCATTTAAAGTATAAAGTGTGTTCTTACCACAATCGCATCTTTAACATTTTTCCGAATATCCAGTATTTTCTGTTTCTTTTCTCTGCATTAAAACAGAAATATTAACACTTTGATTTTTTCTTCCAAAGCAGTTCAGTCGGTTGCATTAATTTTTATTTTCACTGATCGCTTGTTTATCTGCTCTTCAATCATTACAACATACTAACTGAAAAGAACCGCAGACAAATATATTTTTCCCCTTATCCCTTTTCTTGCATAGTATGAAGAGCAATGCACATTCATCCCTGATTTTTTTTTTTAAATCAGACAATCATAGCCACATCTGCAAAGCCTCCCCTGATGGAACTGGAAGTCATTCTTTCATTTCTACAGCATGCTGTAAACATGCTCTAAATTAACAATATGTAGTTGAAGGCCAACAGATACCTAAAATTAACGCTACAGATTAATAATAATTTCTGGCAAAGAGTTCTTCAGAGAGAAAATGATGTAGCCTCAGAAAACAATTATTTCTAACAAACGTGCAAAATTAGTTTCAGTTTTGCACTAACCCAAATACCGGAAAAACAGCAGCCACTGTCATCCTGAATATGACTTGACATGTATTTTTGTATTGCAGACAGATGCAATATTTAGTTATTTGCTTCTATGTAAAAAGTAGTCGCCATGTTGTTGCTACACAGGGGCCTGTCAAGCGCTGCAGTAGCAACAGTGTAAAATACAGTAATGGGGCCAGAAGGAGAAAATGCAAATATACAATAGCAGTAATTTCCTTATTCTCGCTCCCCTTCCTCCCCTCCCTCCCCCAAAACGCAGTGTCAGGCCACCAAAACACAGGGGAGGCCAGGAAAAATCTCCTAGCCTCCTGTGCCTTGACCTGTTTCCAACGTTTACACGAAAAATAAGTCACAAAGTGTCAGCGATTCTTACTCTGAATTAAATCCATTGACATGTAGGATTCGCATTTGTTTCACAATAGTGCTTTTTCCTGACTCACCAGCCCCTAGAAGAGAAAGAAGGAAAGGGAGAACGTTGTGATACATGGTTCGGGCTGTGGGGTTTGGGGTTTTTTTTTGGCTTTTTGGGGGTTTTTTTTTTTTTTTTTTTTTTGGACGCGACAGCATCTCCCACCTCCGGCAGCCGTTCTGTATGTGTGCATCCATGTGGCTCAGGCAGAGAGCTCAATCTCTCCCTGGACGTCTGGCGCTCTATCGCTCGATACGACAAGCCCTACATTTGTCATCCCTAAAGGCGCAGACGACGACATCTCTCTCCCCCGGCCGCTGCGCTGCTCCCCGCCGCCCGGGCGGACTGGGAGGGGGGCAGATGCGCCCCCCGTTCCTCGCCCTCCTCTCCCCCGTCCCCCAGCCTCGGCCCCCTCCTCTCCTTCTCCTCCTTACCCAGCAGGAGCAAGCGGTGGGTCGCTTTATAAGCCAGCCTCTCTTTCTGCAACTGCTTCTCTATTTTTTTGTTGGCTTCTCGCTGCGCTTTCTCATCGATACGCTGATCCTCCGTTTTGCTGTTGCCCAAACACCCCATAGCCGCTGCTTAGGATGGATGTCAAATCGTTGCCTTTGCAGATTTAGTATTTACAAGGGGGAGGTGGGGGAGTGGTGAAAGGTGTTGGGGGCGTGTAACGTACTCGTGCTGTTGGAGAAATGGCACTGGGTGACCTCCGGGGAGCCCTGATGAAGGAGCTCAACAAAGCGAAGCCCTGCAAGGACAGAGGACGTGTGCGCTGGCTGCAGGAGGGCTCCCCCGCCCCGCGGGTGGGGGAAGGCAGAGGGATGGGAACGGGGGGCGTGAGGGAGCCTTCGCTAACGCCGCTCGCAGTTCACGCGCAAGCGCGAGAATGCATCTGGGAAAGGGGAAGGGGGGAAAAAAAGCTGTGCAGAAACGCCTAACATGCAACGGGAGGGAGGAAAAGGGCTCCTCCTGGAAACCAGCCGGGTGCTGCCGCTCTCCTCACTCCCTCCCCACCGCGCACACAATCCCTATATTTCTCTGTAAAGGTCTATTTTTGTCTTCCTAACTCAGCACTGCCTCTTTCTGCCAGACCAGGAAACAGCCCAGCTACCAGCCCCGCCAGGGAAGCCGAAGGAGAAAGGTAAAAGCCGGACCGACCTACCTGGATCCTGCGGGGCCGCGGCCAGGCGGGGACCGCGCC